GGTAAGTACTTCTTTGAGTAAGAGATGATTTCTCTTAACTTACACAAAAATCTACTCTAGAATCAAAGATTTTTTTTTTAAAGATTTATTTATTTATTCGTACAGAACTGGGGTACAGGCCAGAGATGTGGAGGGTGAGAGGATTCACCAGAGACAGAGCGGGAAGCAGAACAGAGAGATCAACGAATTAACACTACTGAGGGGAGCAGCGGGCGGGTCAGGAGAGATCTGCAGCGCCAAGTGGTCGCCTCCGGGGCAGGCGGGGATCGAACTCATGCGGAAGTGGCTTTAGTTTCTTAGTGCAGTGCTTTAACCCGCTGCGCCACCAGGGAGGGCCTAGAATCAAAGATTTAATCAAAGATTCTGCCTTCAGAGGTGATACTGGCAATTCCATATGGATGTCTTCCTGACTTCTCTAACCCGCAGTTATGGCAGCATTATGGCTATGGCCAAGTAAACCAAAAATATCTACTTTAGGGCCCTCCCTGGTGGCGCAGCGGGTTAAAGCACAACACTAAGAAGTTTAAGCTACTTCCACTGAGTTCGATCCCTGCCTGCCCCAGAGGTGACCACAAGGCGCGGCAGACCTCTCCTGACCCGCCCGCTGCTCCCCTCAGCAGTGTACTTCGTTGATCTGCCTGTTCTGCTCCCCACTCTGTCTCTGGCACTCTGTCTCTGGTGAAGCCTCTCGCCGTCTCTGAGCCTCTGGCCTGTACTCCAGTTCTGTATGAATAAATAAATAAATCTTTAAAAAAAAAATATCTACTTTATTCATGAATAGACCCGACTGAATATTCTCAAACCTTTTCCCTAAAGGTCTACTTCCTATACTTTCCACAGGACCATATAATCTCTTACAGAATTAAATAATTATAATCATATTTATCAGTTTAGTTATTCAATGTTTGCTTCCCCTGGACTTAAACTCCGAGACAGAACCTTTTCTGTTTTGGCTACCAGGCTACCATTGTACTCCCTAAATGCAAGCTTGCAGTAGACAAGAAGGAATTAATTAATGCCTTGACTCTAAGATCCAATTCTCTTTTTTCTGAAATTTTACTGCCTCAGAATCTCAGAACTAGGATCTATCTTGGAAGTGATCAATTCCAAGCCCCTATTTTACATGAAAAATTGAGGCCTCTTGATTGCTAAATTGCTGTCCAAGTCACTTGCCTAAGTGCTCAATCTTAAGACTGATTTGAAAGTGTTTTTAAAAAGTTCTAAGTAAATTTATATAATTCTACATCCTGAACTCAGACATTTTATCAAGTTTCACCTAGTATTTAGCAGAATAAAGGCCATTCTTGATACGTACTTTTCTTGAATTGCACAGAATCTTCGGTAGCTCATGGTCTCTACTCAGCTATTCTTGCTACCCAACTCTTTGGACTCCAGTTCTTGGTAGCACAAAACTGAGTAGGAGGACTTTATATTAATGCCAAGAACCAGTCACAGACTTGAATAGTGGTTTCTGACACTCTTGAAGAAAAGTAGTTACCATGAGTTCATATGGGTTTAGGAAGGATCGGAGTATTATTGTTTTCTTCTTTGAAAGAGTAATTAGACTGGTTGATGAGAAAATTCAGTGGTTGTTACTATCCCAGCAAAGCATCTGACAAAGTTGCTCATACTTTTTTGAGTAAAAATTGTGTGCTTTATTCAACTAGGGAGTCAGTAATAAGCTGAAAAAAATCTTAAGATACCCATAAGATTCTGGAAAATGGATTGAAATCAATATGAAGGTCAAGTCCATGTAGTATTGTGATTCTCAAACTACAGCGCACCAGTCAACCTGGAGGGCATATTCAGAGAGAAAGTGCTGGGTTCTTTGCCCACAATTCCCAACTGAGCAGTTGGGGTCCAAGAATTCATATTTCTCTACATTGGATATTTATTTCTTTTCTCCTATGACCCACTCCTTTATTATTTTTTAAGCATATCATAAACCTCTAAATCATAGCTTTAAACTAGTTATCACTTTCACATATTTACCTGGTAACAAATGCTTTACTAAAATCACTGTCCCTTAAAATAGGATTTCGGCTGCCAATCCACTATTCACAGTTTCAATTTTTTTTTTCTTATTGAGGTAATTAACATCGGTCACCTACTCCTCTGACCCTTTATCCCCCAGAAACCGTATTTCAGTTATCAGTTTCCACTAGTTTATAATTATTTTTGATTTATTGATTTACCTACTTGATTCCTTACTTATATATGTGAAACCATCCAATATTTATCTTTCTGACTGGCTCTGCTGCACCTCATTCCCTCAAGCTCCTCCCACTTTGCTAAAAATGGTCTTATTTTGTCTTTCCTTACAGTTGTATGGTACTTCAGAGCATGGATATACTACAACTTTATCCAGGCCTCTTTCAGTGGGCAGTAGATTGTTTACATATCCTCCTTGTAAACAATGCTGCAATGAGTCATGGAGCATATTATTTTTGAGTTGATGGTTTCATATTTTGTGGATACCCCAAAAATGGGATTGTGTGTCTGTATGTATTATGAGGATTCTGCACCCAAACTACGTGTCTGCTGTCTCACTGTCCAGTTGGTATACATGGTACCCAGACCCCTGTTGTTCATAAATTTACTATGCATTCTAGCCTCTCCCAACTACCTGAATTCCTCTTCCTGTCTTCTTTACATGCTCCAAAAATTGAAGACATAAACATTACACTAATACTGAAAATGAACTTTGTATTTAAAAAATTACTTTCTTCCAGATTTAAACAAGCAAAAGCACCACTTAAAATAAGATAAAAACTTAAAAATTTCTTATATTCATTAGAAAAGCTAAGCTTCATTTTTAAGAAATCTATGTATCAATTACTAGATGTTGTGAGGGTAGGTAATTGTTTTGCACCAGAGGAAAAAAGGAATAAACATAAAAAATGTGATGTGATTTACATTTGTTCAGTGAGTGCTGAATGCATGACACATTATAGTTAATTCGTGACTAAGTATACATGGTAGCTGTTAAGAAGCAGAACCACCATAGGTTGGTAATCTTCTTTATCCTTGATGCTGGGCTCTTTCTTTCCCCATCTATTGTGCCAGAATGTTGGCCCCCCCACCCATCAGGTTGGGGTTTTGACCTTCTTACACTTCACCTCAGACTTACTTAACTGTGTACTATCTCATATTTAGGAATTTTCTTTGTTTCTTCCACGAGTTTAGTCCTTAAAAAAAAAAAAAAAGCAACATTTTAAAAAGAGCCATTAGTAACTCTACCCAAAAAGGGTAGGAGCTGTCCAGTGACAGGACAGACAGGCAAAGATTTTGGGTTACACATGCTTCTCCCTAAGTGTAGCTAGGCGAGGCCTGCATGGAGAGGGCAGAAGACAGAGAAGAGAAACAGGTACCTGAAGTTGCCAAAGAATAATTTCCCTTTTTGAACAAAAATTCTAATGGAGAGTCAATTATACCTCAACGTTAAAAAGTCTAATTGAAAAGATAGACCAAATGCCAGTAAAGACTTTAACCATCTAATTATTCTGAATTTATATTAAAGCTATCGTAAAAAATATGTCCAGTAATACTTATGCCAGATGTTCATTTAGATAAACGAAGTCATACAGGAATGCTCTCATAAGACATTTAAAGAACTTTAAGAAATCAGCTTCATACTACTTGGAGAATGCAGTAACAACTACTTTGGGCTTATAAACTTATTTTTAGAAGTTTATTTGTAAATACAAAATAAATATCACTTTATAAATAAAAGTTTAATTTTAATAAAGAAAAAATAAAGAAATATAAGTTTTCTAGTTAAATAAAATTAGAATATCTTCTTTTTAAAAAAAATTTTTTAAGAAATACTTTCTAGTAAAAGAAACAATTCCTAGGGGGAAAATGAATTCTCCTCTTCCCAAGGGAAAACTTTCTTTTTTTTGGCTTTATTGGCTTTATAAGTAAACACCTCTTTCTCTTTTGGAAGGGAGGGGGCGAGGTAGATTTCTTTAAAACTTTGCATTTAATTTTTTGACTAATAAATTGATATTGATCATAGAGCCTATGTAATTATCCATTTTAAATATCAATGTCATTTTTCCTAGCAAAAGATCTTATATACACACACCATGGGCAGGCAAATATTTTGTATTTTTGAAAATAAAATCTGTCACTTCTTCAGTTTCAAATTGCTGACATTTAGTTTTTTTAATGTCTTTCACACAGAATATACTATGGCAAAAATTGCCTTAGATAAATATTTTATAATCCTTCCTGTGTACCACTGATTTCCAAATCATCAACAGTGCTGAATTGTCAACTAAGAATTTTCACTATTTAATCAGGGCAAAATTCATTTGGAAATAGTGCTTGAAAACTGCTCTATATACATACCCATCTCCTATTTTTAAAATTACAAAACTCACATCCAGAAGCACATATAACAAAGTTAATAACCAAATAATATATCCAATGTTAAAAATCACTCACCATTGTCAACATTAAGTTATAAGATGTGCTGACCTAATTTCCTATGAAAAATTAAGTGAAAAACAATGATAAAGGAAAAGATTTCAGGAACTCTTGGGGAAAAAAAACTAAAAATTGAGAATGTAAAAATACAGTATCAATTGGATTTCAAGGTTTTAAGATTATGCTTCCTAGCAAGCACCTGAAAAGTTAAAAGTTACTTAAAGGGAAAGTAAGAATGACAAACTTAAAATAATTCTGTTCATTTATGACACACATGAGTAATACTAACTAGAAGGCAAGAATGACTGCAGAAGGAATAGGAGATAAATTAACCACCTTTTTAATTATTCTGGCTTGGATTGCCAGTTTAGTACCTCTCTGGAAGCCCTAGATGTGAAGCTGAGCTATTCTTCTCTTCATAAAAGGAAATTGTTTACAAGGCTGCTCAAAGTTTAGCAAATCAGATCTCTTACCTCACTTCTGAACTATCCTACCATATACTATCTTTCCCATGCAATTTAAATACAGACTCCCAGAAGTACATGGCATTTAACCAATAAGGTACTTACATTCACACTGTATGACATCTAAATTAAACTGCTGAACAGCTCCCATGCTTATCTGTTTTAACTCACTGTCCAGTAGCATCTGCATTAAGGATGTTGACAGATGCTGGCAGGCTGACATGCAAGCAGTCTGGGCAACTTTCCCCTGTTTGAAACAAATACACAAACCAAATAATAAACAAATACTGAAATACATTATAAAGTATCAGAAAAACTATAGTACCTGAATCTTTTTAGCTGACTTTTATTTTTATACAATAGCAACATTTGACCTTTCTGTTCCTGCAGCTATATATTTTACCCTAGAATTAAAATTAATATTTTTGCTTATTTGTCCTTGGTAGGATATGAGTACCAACTGAAATCTAAGTAGCACACAGGAAAATTTAAATACAAAAAATTATTATTTCAGATCTCCTAAAATTTAAAACATGACATTTATGACATAAAAGAACTTGTAGAAACAGAACATTTATCCATATAATGCTCTTTAAACTCTCCTTTGTATTAACCATATCAGAAAAAAGGTAACTAGTAAACAGTGTAATTTATTATTAAACTATAATTTATATAATTTATATTTATTCAAAATGTAATTTGAATAACAAGTTTCTACTGTTAATCAGAGCATTTGTTTGTAGCATAGCTTCAATTAGCGAAAGGAAAAAAGGACTGTCCCTACAACATGATTTCAAGAACATCTCCAGATGTACATATCATTTTAAATTATTTTAAAAACATTCAATCATTTAGAAATATGCAGCTAACTACAAATACATGTTTTTCCCACTATATATCATTTTGAACTATTTTTTATTATAAAAAATTCTTAGCACACTATATGCACATTCACTGGTAGACTGTTTTCTTAACAATGACAAAAAGGATAACTGTTTTGCCTGTAGATTATATAGCTAAAGCACAATACAATATTACTTTATGTATAAATTGTTTCTATAAGTGTTTGAAATTTATAGTTTTAAATTTTGAAACCTAATGGTTTAGTTGAAATGCAAGCTGAAATATAAACTTTGTGTTTCAACTAGAAGTTTAAGATATATAAAGACTCTGTATAAATAAAGTTTCCCATTGTAAGACCAATTATATGATTTGGTGATGATCTGACTCACATGACAGCGTTTAAAACTCAATGAGTGAATACGGTTAGAAATACTGGCTTTCCGAAGATGTGCCATGCTTTACCTCACTTGCATTAGCAAATATTTACCCAATAATATTTGATAATTATGTTTTCCCTACTTGTCACAAAAGTCAATAGAACTAAAAAATTCATAAAAAAAAAAACTCCCAAAGGTAAAATGCTACAATATACTGTTACAAAATGTTTACATAGTTGAGCTTATAGAAAAGGTAGAAAAAGCATAAACATATTTTCAAGATGTTTTCTAGGACATTTATTCATGAAATCACACATTTAAAGTAATACTAAAACAGGCAACTTTTATGAATGAGTCTTTAGCATTTGGACATTATACACAGTGAAAAACTGTATCTGAAATGGAATGTCAATTTCTCAATCAAAAACTTGAGAGATAAAAGCATATGCAAACAATCTATTTGACAGATACAGATGAACTGCCAAAAAGGAATGCAACAAACAATGAAAACCCCAGCATGCTTCAAGATCTCCCAAACCCAAGAGGAATAAGTCTGGGAGACATGCAGCTCCCATCCCGAAGCAGAATAATATCAATATGAATGGGGGGTGAAGGGGAAGTAGAAAAAGGAGAAATCAATGGCATGAAATTTAATTACAATGTAACAGGCTTGAGAATACTTAATGGAAATGTCATTTTGACATTTGGAATAGCTAGTGCATTTCAGTTTAATGTACTTGTCCATCAAATCAGTTCCATGTCCTACTTAATGTTACTACCACAATGTTCCAACTGCAAAAGCAGATTAATAAATTGCCCTCCAAGTTATTATTACTATTACATTAATTCCAAAAGCCAAAATGATTAAAAAAAAAAAGGTTACTATAAATCTGGTGAAAATGGATAACAAAAAAACAGAGGTTGAGGTTTCTGTTTAAATAAAATTTCATAAAAATACTAATAAATTTCTTTTGATGAAGTATATTAAATACAGGCTTATTGTTCTCAGAGAATTTTAAAATATTTGTAAAATACTTTATATAGCTTCAAATGAAGCAGATTCTTCCTTTTCATAGCTCAAAATTAGTTATACCAAAGGTTCAGATTCTTTACATTTTTAAAAAGTTCCATCTGTAATACTAGACATTTTTTTTAAATGGCTACTTTCTAACTATAAAATGTGCACAAATATTCTTAAATTTCACCAAGTACTTAGTTTTAGGCAGAAAATTTCTTAATGTTCCCAAAATTTGCAAAACCCAAAAACATTTTTGGCAGTTCATTTCTGATGTCCATTGTCCTTGGTACACAAACTTCTTTTTAAACATGACTATTATTTTTGATGCTCTTAATAATAATGTCATTTTCTAGGACAACAGTAACCTTTTATAATTATCTTTAAAAATTAGCTATTTTTTATTAGAGAGGCTCTGGTTTTTAACATAACAAACAGAGCCAAGATAATTAAGTGACTGTGAGAAAACAGCACATTTTATAAATTTTAAGCACCTAGAAATTTCTGCTGCTCTCATCTGAAAAATTAATTGCAACTATTAGAAACATTTTCTTTTTTTTAACAACACAAAGTTCAATAAATAAGTAAAAACACCTGCCAAACTTTTAAAGGTAACTACTCTTTTACAGAGCGCTAACATTTTACTGAAAAACAACTTGCAAAGAGAAAAAACTCTTAGACAAACTTCTTATATTTCAAAGGAACTTGTAAAAGAGAATCTGCTGACATATTAGATCCTTTCTGCATTACCAAAAAGCCTTTCTTTTAAGAACAATTGTGGTAAAGAGACATTTGGCTCCTAGGAAATTCCCAAAGGGTCAACCATATGCATCCTTCCATGGCACCTTCACAGTGCTGCCTTCTAGATCCATGTCTCAAAAGCAGCTTTCATCATTTACTTGTGTGTCAGTCAATATGATTTATGGACTGCATTCAACAAAGTCAAAGCATATAGAATGAGAAATATGACTACAATCTGCTAATTTGTTTTGTATTGAGCCACTTAAGAGTCAAAGACCTGATGTCAGACTGAGACCAGCAACACAATTAACCAGCCGGTGACAGATTCATCCATCCTCCCTGCCAGGCTGTGCCAATCAAAGACAGCATGAGGCGACATTTGGTGAAATCAGTAAGAAAACTCATTCTCTAAGTAACCTATGGGAGACCCTGATTGACATTTTTTGAATTTAGCTTGTGGAACACAGCCACTCTTTACTCAATGGTCCCTCACTGCAAGCTGTGAAATAAGGCTTTTAATGCCAATCACAGGAACAATAAACCACAAACCACCAACCCGCAGTATAAAAAGAATCAAGAAAACACATCTGTTTGTATGTCAAGCCAAATTTCCAAAATAATTTACTATTATAGATTAGGCTAAAGGCACTGTTTCCTTTGAAACATCATAAAGTGACATGGTAACAAAAATACAACACATTTTATTAGATTACAGCTCAAAATGTTTTGATTTCAAAGTAATGTTTTGATGGATCTACTCTAATATAATTGTAAGAGAAATATAGAAGACTTAAAGACTAATTTGACACATTTAACTTTTCATTTGAAGTTTTCATTTCAGTCTCACCATTCTCTTATTTCAAAGATCTAATAAAAAAAGGTTTGATTTCAATAGTGATTACTTGAAAGCACTTTTCAATGCTGCTTTCGTTCTCTCCAGTACATTTAACACAAAACTGTGCTCTGGAAATCATGACTCTTCTTTCTAGGTTGGTCTGCTTTTCTTAATGATCCCAGAAAGTAGGCTTTCTTTTATTTATATCCCCACAAAAGGTCAACTTTGTACAATAAAAGACTTTTTTATTTAAGAAAAAATATATAGATTCAGAAATACTGTGTATTTTATTTATTATTCTTTAAATTGATAACAGATTTTGTTTGAAAAGGTTATGCATCTTGTCAGCAAAAACTGGACACCTGAAATAATATGGTCAATTTCAAAATTACACATAACATGGGTAAGTGAATGTATTAATTCTGATTCTCTATAGCTTTTTAAGTTATTAAATGTTAAAAGTTATTTAAATTATAGCAGTAGAATATTGCTAAATTATGTTTGCTACACAAAATTCAGTTATGAGACTGTGAAACATTCTTTTCAAAAGGAAGACAAAAGAGTAAGGGCATATTCTGATAAACTGGTTAGTTACCTAAAGAGCCACAATTTATATAGTCTTTAAAAACACACACACTAAAAGGATGAGTTCTTATAATCAAGTGTGGAGTAGATATTAAAATTAGAAATAAATTCTTAATTGAAATATGAAGGAACATAAGCTAACCCACAAGTTCACAAGGCAATTTAAAAGGCAAAGCATTTTTCGTTGGGATCAAAGAATTGCAATGCAGGAGCAAAAATTCAGGCAGAAATCCAAGTTGACTCCTCATAAGGGTCAAATTAGGGGAGTTTTTTATGGAGGGGAAAAGAAGGATGAGGTAGGTAATGGTTAGGTGAAGAAGTCACAAATAAAAATAGCCAGGTGGGAATGTCTCAAAAAGTAAAAATCCACTTTCATCAGTTCTTTCAAACAACATATTCTAGTTCCTATTGGTTTTCTGGAATGTTGGCAATTTGGGCTCAAGGGTCTGCCCCAGAGTAAAGTACATAATAAAGTGGTTTCTTCTGCAATGGTTTGCTCCCATTAAAATGACTCTAGTCACATCAACTTTTCGCAGATGCCCAGTTGAAATGTAGACATTTTAATTTAAGCAGTTTATTATGCTTCCTATAGTTTATGTAAGAACCAGTAATCTAAGGTTTATACTGTGAAACTACATCTTACTCAAATATAAATCAGGCAAAAAACATGCCTAAAATAATTGGTACAAGACTGAAAATTTCCCCAAGACGATGTCACAAAAGCACAAAGATTCCTCTAACTAGAATGGACTCTGTAGGAAACTGAAATGACTCCTAGCCCAAATAACACATACAATGGATGAGTTTTAAAGATTTGAATACCAAAATGAATTTCTTCAGAGAGTTTTAAA